TTTAACGACAACCTCGAGATCGCCCGACTTCTCCTAGAGTTCATCTTCGTAGTCGAGCCATTTTCATTCGGGGGAATGGGGGGGGGAAGCGCCGGGGGTAGCGCCGGGGGAAGGGGGCAGGGAAAGGGCGGCGGCCTGCAGCTGCGGCTCGGTTGGCTCGGGGTCGAGGAGTCGCTCGAGCACGAAACGGACGAACCCGGGGTGCGACGCGACGAGCCGCTGCTCTGCGGGCGCCGAGGCCTGCACCCACTTGTGCACGCACGAGGCGAGCCCGAGGAGGTAGAGGGAGGTCGGCGGCTGCTGCAGTAGCAGCGAGAGCAGCATGTGGAGCAGGCACCCTGCCGGCACCTCTTCGGGTGTCGGCATCGCTGCCGCCGCCTCCGCCAGCGCCAGTTCGGAGGCCATTTCGGAGGCGGCGGCGGCGCCAGCGGAGGCGGAAGGCGCGGCAGCAGATGCGGGAGGGGGGGGAGGGGCGGCGGCGCAAGGGGCGGCGGCGGGGGCGGCGGCGGCCGTCAGCCGAACGTCTGTCGGCACTCGCGCCCCCTCGGACTCCTCGTCGGAGTCGGACGCCGCGGCGGGTGCGGGCGCGGCGGGCGCGGCGGAGGAAGAAGAGCACGCCTCGCCTGCGCCTGCGCCTGCGCCTGCGCCTCCGCGTCCTCGGGTCAGCGCGCCCTCTGAGGCTCCGCCCTCGGGGCTGTCGTCCAGATGCTCCAGGGGAGTGGCGTACCCGTCCGAGTCGCGACCCTCCTCCCCCTCCCCCTCGCCCTCCCCCTCCCCCCCCTCCCCTTCGCCCCCCTACCCCTCGCCCTGGCCCTCGCCCTCCTCCTCCCCCTCCCCCTCCCCTTCGCCCTCCTCCTCCTCGCCCTCCCCCTCCTCCTCCCTCAGCACTGCCGCCTCCTCTTCTTGGCCGCTCCCGTCGACAGCCCGCTCGCAATCGCCGTCGCTGCCGCCGGAGCCGACGGCGCGCTCGACCCCACCCTCGACCTCCTCCCCCTCCGAGTCGCTACCCGCCGCCTGCCACTCAGAAGCGGCGGGTTCAGTCGCACGGCCACACCTCACACCTCTCTCCTCCGCGTCGCCGCCCGCCGTCGTCGCGTCGCTCTCGCTCTCTGCGAGCGTCAGCTCCACGCGCAGCAACGCGACGGCGTCGCCCCGCAGCCGCGTCGCCGCCGCCGCCGCCGCCGCCGCCGCCGCCGCCGCCGCCGCCGCCGCCGCCGCCGAGTCGGGCGGTTGGGCGGCCTCTTCGCGGGGCGTGTGGCTGGCGGGCGTGTGGCTGGCGGGCGTGTGGCTTGCGGGCGTGTGGCTTGCGGGCGTGTTGGCCGCGGTGTTGCTGGCGGGCGTGTTTGCGGGCGTGTGTGCGGGCGTGTGTGCGGGCGTGTCGCTCTCGGAGGAGGAAGGGTCCTCCCCCGGGACGAGGAGGAGGAGCCGGTGGTAGGAGAGGGCGCCAGCCTCCTTCTCGCAGATGGCCTGCGAAGGCTCATGGCAGGGTGACGGGACGGGAGGCGTTGCTCCTTCTCGCAAGACGCCCTGCACCCGCGCTGCACCCGCGCAGCTGCGGCTCAGAGGCTGGGAGAGTGTGGGTAGAGTGTGGGTAGAGTGAGGGAGAGTGCGGGAGAGGGTGGGAGATTGCGGGAGACTGTGGGACAGTGGGGGAGAGTCTGGGAGGCAGTGCGCGTGTTCGTGTCAGGTCGCGCCTGCAACATCCGGAGCAGCTGGAGCTGCAAGCATGACTGCGGCGAGCAGGAGCAGCCGGCGCCGTGCGCGCTGTGCTCGGCCGTGTTTGGCGGCGGCGACCAGTCGAGCCGCTCGACCATCTTGCGCAGCACGGGCAGCAGCCCGAGCTCGACGAGCCTATCTCCCACAATCTCCCACAATCTCCCACAATCTCCCACAATCACAAGCAGCCCCAGCTCTACGAGCTTGCGTGCTGACTACACCGGGGCGGGAAGA